ATTAACACTTACTTAAACAAGCTCTAGTTATAAGTGAATTAAATAATTATTTTTCTATTTCTTTATTCACGTAATTGTAGTACTATTTCTAAGAGGATTTATATCTTTAATCATAATTAGCCTGATAATATAAGATTATCAATATTCCAATAATAAGAATTCAAGTAATAATAAATGCGATTAGTAATAATTCTATTATCCTTAATTCTAAGATTGAACTTGTAAAACTTTACTGACTTAATTGAATTACGCTGTAAGCATATGTTCTAATTTTTCTTTTGTACTTGAACTCGATTAGTATAAAATATACATAATTGTATTTTATGAAATCGGAACAGAACTTGTTTAACGTTCCTATTATCGCTTCCTCATTTTACTCCTTTCACCTGCGAACACGAGGTCCGTGAAGTACTGGCCCAGTATTCAAATCTACCAAGGAAGGATCCAAGCTGCAAACGTATCGTAATTTGTGAGGACCTACAGGTAAAAGGCAATTACTAAGGTTATAAGTGAACTCTCAAATTATTCCAATTGTAACACTAACGTGGCGGCCACGTGGGACGCCAACACCGCCATATTCGGGCTCAACCGTTACGTTCCAACGAATCGCCGCGCGCGTCTACTGCATCACCGCTCTGGAATCTCGATCCTATTGGTTACCGATGCTGTCGCATTTTCATAAATTCGTTAAACTTAATATGCAACGGTGCCATGTGCCCTCCTACGACGCCGCATCGTGAACCAAGCAACGTGTTCGACAACGACTCTTACCGCGCGTGGGTTGATGAAGCTCTCTGTGTAATATCGCAGCTCTATTTACATCGTACTAATCGAACGACACTTTGTAACGATTGTTATAATTCAGAAGAACCACGTGCGCGTTCTGAATATTATCTAGCTCGTCGTCATTGTCTGCAACTCGGTTTGCCGCATCTTTTCGAAAAGTGCGCGAAGTGTTCCTCGATACTTTCTTCTGCGCGACCAATCATAAATTGCAACACGTGCTCCGAGCTGCGAGGGGATTTCGTATCATTTTTAGTCAGGACCGGTGACCATCCATGGTCTGACGACGGGGCCACAATACTTTTTATTTCTCAGTCCCGCGTGTGAAATCATCTAGGGAATTTTGTAACGCAGTAGAGGGCCGCCGGGCCGTAACAGTGCTGAACTGACTAATAATACCTAGGAAAAAATTTGTAAACCACTCGTGACTCTCCTCGATCCACGGTGTCCAGTTCTGAGTCGTTCACCTAACGTACTGCTCCACTGTTACCTTATTGACAGAGATGTTTCGAATTGTCTATATATATGCCGTTACATGTAATCACAAAAATGAAGCAAGAAATGACGTTTCAAATAATAGGTTAATTTAATAAAAGGCTCTAGCAGGTTAAGAAGGGGTCAATCGGCCCCCAAATGGATTATGACCAGCATGTCACCAAAAAGTTCGTTGACACGAAAAAAAAATTTGGAGAAATTTTTAATTCCGTACACCACCCCTTTTCGGAGATATTGCCTTGTGAAGTATTTTCATATTTCATTTTTATCACGAGACCTATCAGATACAATTTTATTAAAAAAATTTGGGCATACAAAACGTATCAAAAGGTATTTGAAAATATTTTTTGCGAGATGTTCCAACCTAACCATAATTTTTAAAAAATTCCTGAAAATTTATAAGTGACCCCCTTTTGTTAGTTTATGATTGGCAACCTCGCAAAAATTCAAAAACATGTATTTTTAAACTTATTTTCACCCTGAATTTTTTCAGAATTTTTTGAACCCGGCATCATGCCTTAAAAAATTAAAACTCGCCTAAAAAGGCAAAAAATTGCCATAAAATATATATCAAGTAAAGCCCTAAAAGGCTCATAAGATAGCCTGCAGACATAGGTAAGATAGCAAGATAACCCTAAAATAGTTCATCGCTCTGATTAAAACAATTATGCAATATTATGGAAGTCTTAAAACACTAAAACATCCATAATATCGCCTTAACCCTTTCAGTCACGCATTTTTCTATTCACTGAATTCGCTTGAAACTCGTTACTCAGGGGTTTTTGGGGTCGCTGATTACGAATCAGATATCATTTTTCAGGAATTCAAAATGGAGGATACAATATGACGGTCGATTTTTTAAAAAATGGATGAATTTGCTTGAAAGGAGTTACTCGGGGGTTCTCGGGGTCGCAAATTACGAATCTGATGTCAGTTTTTAAAAATTCAAAATGGCGGATCCAATATGGCCGACAACTTTCTAAAAAATGGATGAATTTGCTTGAAACGAGTTACTCGGGGGTTTTCGGGGTCGCAGATTACAAATCTGATGTCAGTTTTCACTCATATATAAGTGTCTTCCACTTATATTCAATCGTTTTGAATCCCAAAATCTATTTTAATTTTCGTATTCAGCAACCCTGCGAACCCCCGAGTAACTTTTTTCAAGCGAATCAGTAGATTTTCAATTTTCATATCCGCCATATTGGATCCGCCATTTTAAATTTTTTGAAAACTGATATCAGATTCGTATTCAGCGACCCCAAAAACCCCTGAGTAGCGTTTTTCAAGCGAATTGTATGTGATTATTTTTCACAAACGATTTCTTTTTCAAAAAATGGCCATTTTTTGGTATATTATTGTTTATAATTAATGAACTATAGTATGTTAATATGTATGATGTCTTGTATTCGACAAATAAATGCCTCAGCTATGTAGAAAATTAATCACGACGTAAAAAACATGAGAAACTGATTTTTAAAGGTGAAAAAACCAACGGATAAAAGGTGGGACGCTGAGCGTCCCACCGTGACGCAAAGGGTTAAGACAATCGTAACACACTAATACAATTCTGAGACAGCCCTAAAATTCGATTAACATTACTATTCAGCATTAAAGCAGTCTTAAAACTCTAAAACATTTACAAAATATCCTTGGGGCATTCTTAAAATACTCAAAATGCCATAAAATGGTCTTGAGAGAGTCGCAAAACTCTCAGACGGCATTGAAGTGTGGTTAGAATAGTTCTGCAATCTTAAGACACTAGAATACATCAGTAATAAGTATTTTCTACGAGTATCGGAGGACGACTGATGAATTTAAGGCAGAAAAAATATCGTACGACAATTTCATCCCATAACCGAATTTTTTTCTGAAAATTTTAGCCATATGCTTTTTTTCATATTGGAACTATTTTGAAATATTTAAAGGTTATAAATGCTTTTTGGAATTTCTTTATTTTGATCAACATAATATATTTATATATGTTCATGTATATATTATTAATCGTCGTCGCTATCCTCATTGATGACCGGTGCAATTTTCTGGGCATCGAATAATTTGGATAATAATTCAGCAGGCTTGATAATTTTCGCTAAATATCTAAACTAAACGAAACTAATGGCGAATTCTGCACGCTATCTTATGAGCCTTTTAGGGCTTTATGGCTACTTGATATATATTTTATGGCGATTTTTTGCCTTTTTAGGCGAGTTTTAATTTTTTTAGGCATGATGCCGGGTTCAAAAAATTCTGAAAAAATTCAGGGTGAAAATAAGTTTAAAAATACATGTTTTTGAATTTTTGCGAGGTTGCCAATCATAAACTAACAAAAGGGGGTCACCTATAAATTTTCAGGAATTTTTTAAAAATTATGGTTAGGTTGGAACATCTCGCAAAAAATATTTTCAAATACCTTTTGATACGTTTTGTATGCCCAAATTTTTTTAATAAAATTGTATCTGATAGGTCTCGTGACAAAAATAAAATATGAAAATACTTCATAAGGCAATATCTCCGAAAAGGGGTGGTGTATGGAATTAAAAATTTCTCCAAATTTTTTTTTCGGGTCAACGAACTCTTTGGTGACATACTGGTCATAATCCGTTTGGGGGCCGATTGACCCCTTCTTAACCTACTAGAGCCTTTGCAATGCGTGCTTCCGACACGTCTTGCTATCTGGGACCACATGGGTTTTTAAAAATATTAGATTAGAATTTAATTTGGCGCCGACTATTGATATCATATCTTTTATACAAATGATACATGTCACTAGAACCATTTGGATTGAAATAGGAAGATCATTCAATAAGAACTACGTGGGTTTTACTATTTAATCAATAAGAACTACGTGGGTTTTACTATTTAATTTAGTAAGAATTTAATAAGAATAATTACCACATGGGTTTTTAAAGATAGTAGAATTCAACTTGGCGCCGACTATTGATATATCTTTTATACAAATGATACATCTATAGTTTACATCATGGTCTACTAAACAGCAAATATAATTAGTCGGTTCTACAGCCGATTAAGTAATTGGCGTTGGTGAAACTGGCCCAAACGGTTTTTTATCAGAAGCACGCACTCTTAGCGCATTTTCTACCTTTTTTTAAAAAGGTAAATTTTTTAGTTCTTTTAATTTTCAAAATTCTTAATTAATATTAAAATAACAAAATAAATCACTCCTTATATTACAAATATCAAACAATGTCCTTGAGGCAATAGGAGTCCACCGCTGGATGTAGGGTTGTGAATAAATTCCAATATTTGTCTTCTCTTACGTACGTTTCGACTTTATTTTTTAAGTCATCTTCAGCAATATCATTAATTAAAAACGCTATCCGGAACTCATCTAAGTAAAATTATCATCCACATCAGTTATCTAGCTGATATAGATAGTATTTAAAAGATTTATTTAATATAATACGTATATTTTTTTCATTTAAGGTATATTTAATACAATATGTATATTTTTCACGTAAGGTATTTTTATTAATATAATAAAATTTTGTTATGTTCCATTTCTATATATATAATATATAATTACATGTAGTAATTTATCTTCTTGGAAATAGAATTGTTGCAAGATAATTACGCTTGGCTATACCTTCATCATCATCATTATTATTATCATTTTCAACTTGTGCACATTCTGGATTATCTTCTCTATTCTGTTCGTTTTCTATTATATAATTCTCAACTTCATCATCAGTATCACCTAAACATATGTTATGAAGAACACAACAGGCTAAAATTGTTGCAGGTATCAAATCTATCTAAATATTTTAAACGTCTAAAGCGTCCTTTTAGTAAAGCAAAAGCGCGTTCTATTATTTGTCTAGTCTGTAATAAAATAAAATTAAAATTGTTCTCGACCTGTAACATACAAAAGTTTACAAAAATAAGTATATATAAAAGACTAGTAATGCAACATTACTGATATAATTATCAAATAAAATTAAAATTTAAGTGAAATAAAATAGTATTAATAAAACAGAATAGTTTTAAATAAAAAGATCATGCTGTCTTTCGATCAAAGTAAGATCTTAAATGCCACAAATTAATATTTATATTATTCTATGAATATTAATTTAAGCCAGCGGCACACGGTGCTTGTTTTCCTGCTGGATTGCTAGCTAGATCAGATTCTTGCCATCAGATTGGCCGCGATACTGACACTTTCAGCACCGCAGTCAATACGGTGGCAAGATTCTAATCCAGTTAGCAATCCAGCAGGAAAAAAAAGCACCGTGTGCCGTAGGCTTTAGTATTTAAAATCCTGCTTTGATCAAAAGATGATATGATCTTATTTGTAAAGTTAAAATACTGTAATGTTTATTTTTTTAAATATATTGTAAAGTACCTCTGTCAAATGACCATTATCCTTATAAGCGGTCAAACACCATCCAAGTACAGGATATGCTTTGTCTCCTATTATGAATTCTTGATTAGGGAAAAAAGACTGAGGATTTCTGTTGACACAATTCCAAAGATCAGAATTGCGGAAAACTCTAAGATCCCCCACAGAACCAGGATATCCGACATAACAATCAATGAAACGCATATCTGCATCACATACAGCTTGAAGTATAATGGCATATCTACACTTTCTTGTCAGGTAACAATGAGCATCTATCTGAAAAATAAACATAAATTTCTATTAATCAAATTTAAATATAATAACATATTTAAAAAAAGCAAAACTATAAATATTACAGATGGTGCTGGAATTTCAATATATGAACCATCAATAGCACCAAGAACATTATCAAGACCCGCTATCTGTTTGAACTTCTCTGTTACAGTATTCATACGATTCACAGATGGCCATTTGATAATATCGTTTGAAATATTACAAAAGGCCTGAATAACACGTCGTACGCAGTGATTTAGTGACGATTTAGCCAAATCGAATTTGAGTCCAACAGATCTATGACAATAAAAATTCCATACAAAATTATTAATCATAGATAATAGAAAACAAATATATATAAGAGAGAGATATAATAATAAAAATAGAAAATTTAATTTAAAATTATTTTTTACTTTGCTGAGTGAGTAATTATCAAAATATAAGAAGGTATATAAAAAAGAATTAAGCTATATAAAAACTAATTATTGTTTGAAAATAAACAATATGAGTTAATTGGGAATAATAGATGATTTCAAAATAGATAATTTTGAGATAATAGTTCCAAAATTAGTTTATTATGCGAACTATTATTTCAAAATGTAATTATATAACAGTTTTTCTATTTCTTTTACAGAGTAGTATTATTTCTTAAGATTTTTTAAATATAATTTTTACAGTTTATAAATGGTATTCACCTATAAGAATCAGGAGTTGCTAGCAACCATAAAACAGCAAGTAACTGTACTCTCGGTTCTATACGAGGTCTACCTAAATGATTAGGTTTTATTAGCATCGGACTAAGTTTATTTTCGGTAATTATTTAGATTAGGGGACACCTCACCGATGACCTTGACCTTGACATATGTTGTCAAGGTCATGATTCTGAGTAACTTTGCCTTAACAACTAGGCGGCGGACTCTTATAATTTTTGAGATATTATAAAGCGTTGAAGTTATTTTTAACAGTAGTGAAACCGGTAAATCTTTAGATCAGGGGACTCTCCACAATGACCTTGACCTTGACATATTTTCTCAAGGATACGACCCTGAGTAACCTCCAACAGGTTTTAACCGTCGCTCGTCCTTCGTTAAAACGTTATTAACAATTTTTGGTATCTCTATCTTAATACTTTTATATGCAAAATAGTTAGAGGAATCACGTTATCTAAAAAAAATTACATAATTCCATTTAAAAAAGTGGAGGTGACCTTCATATCTTTTTAGCGCCTCCACTTAGAATAAAAACAATATGACTAAAATGTGTCCCCCTCGACACCATTCCATTTTTATTTGAAACATTTTTTTATAGCTGGCGTATTTTAGGAGATATTTGGATCCGTCGATTAAAATGGGACACCCTATATAATACATGTATGATATTAAGTACTATTCTACACCTTTCCCTGTTTAGAAACGTTAAACTTTCCACGCGAAGTAACTTTAACCC